ATTTAAAAATTGACCTACTTTATGTAATACTCCCACAGCTGAGTCATCACAGTATCAACTGGTCTCTATCAGCTGCAGGGTATGATCATCACTCAAAAAAAAAAAAAAAAAAATCAAGTACCTGTACTGAAATGCATCTTTTATTTTATTATTATGTTAAAAATACACTGTCCGTCTGACAGTCCAGACCATAACTGGGGAGGGGGAAAATCCTAAAGTTTGAACTGTGTAAAGTAGTCCCTGTACAGCAGATGCTGTGCCTCGCAGCAAGAGCCCATAAGCTGCAGGATGGAGCGCTAGATGAGGCTGCAGAAATAGAGATTAGTTCCATCTCTGCCACCGTTACAGTACGTAGCTTCAGGCGAGTAATTTAGACTTCTTTCTGTTTCATCAAACAATAAAACGGAGGGAATGCTACCGCCTTACAGAATCAGCTGACGTTTATACCACACTTTAGCATATGCATAGCATTAGCTGTTATTTTACATCTACAGAAAAGGAAGGGGTAATATATATATTTTAATACTGGCTTAGCAGGCCTCATAAGAGAGGGTGGAAGTGTTTTAATGAACATTAGAAACTCTTTACAGGGGCCTTGATTCATGGTAATTCACTCCGGACAGCATCTTACACAGACTTCTGGCTCACAGTCCATCGGAGCGAGTAGGAGTCCATTAGTATCTCAGGGCTTTGTTTTTCAAAACAAACATTTGTTGATAGCAAAAAGTAAATATTCCTTTAAAAAAAAAAAAAAGTATTTTAATTACTACTTACACGCCATCCTATAGCCACTTACAACATAACGCTGTAGTCTCCACAGACCAGGAGAAGGTTAAGAGGAATCCAAACTTGCATCTCAAGTGAGGCTAGCACCCTTACTCCCTTAGCTGAAGTTATACATTTGAAGGAGAAAAAAAAAAAAAAAAAAAAAAAAGAGGGGAGTTGAGCATGCCATGCTGCTGGAATCATTCCTGCAAGCCTGAAAAAGACCCAGCACAAGACAGCTCCAGAAGGTTATTTGAAATAAGATGCAATGTACACCAAATACCACCTCTGCTGCCAAGGGTGCTTTTACATTATTTCTTGCAGGAAGCGGCCTAACTTCAAGCACACGTCAGTTGTGGGGCTGGGGGAGGGAAATGAGGAAACTCTTGCACAAAGCAGGGCAGGAGGGTCGGGTTGAAGCCCCGGGGTGCCCAGGGCTAGGCCCCTGCACACAAACATCCCTTAGGAGGAGGTGGTGCTGAGTGCTCACTGACCCCCCCCAAAAGTCCCTGAGCCCGCCTGAAGCACGCCCAAGTAGAAAGCATCATTTCAAAGGCTGCAGCCCTCACAGAAGCTCTCGTTGGACGTCTGCAGCAGGCTAATCCCGGACAGGCCTTGCCAGCCCTCTGTCTGAGGGGCTTACCAGGCCGTCCGTAGGTGAAGCATGTCACCTCATGGCAGACAACAGCACTTTTACCTCTGCAAGGACAAGGAAGCAAATCACACAAGGCGACAGAAGTGACATTACTCCTTAATTATATTTTGCCATCTGCTCTGGTAGCAGAACTGTGCAGGTATTTAAAGGCAGTAATCCAGGTCTGATACTCCGAGACCTAAGCCAGCAAGAACAGAAGATTTGCTATTCGGCACCACAAAAATGGGCAGAAAAGTGCACCTGTGAAATTACGCTTAAGACTTCAAAGCTTTTCGTTTAAGAACTATTAATTCCAAGCGCATACTGAATGCAGTCTGGCTTCTCGGCTGATGCTTTACAAAGCTGTCAGCTTTCTGAGGCTTGAGCCAAAAGGCAATATTTGATATGTAAAGATGTTTGAGGAGGAGGGTAAAGTGAGAAGAAAGATTTGTATGAGTCAGCCATAGTCCTTTTAAAAATTAAGTGATAGCGTTTTTAAAGCACAGGGGAAAAAAAAAAAAAGAAAAAAGAAAAAAAGAGATACACATACACGGATTTCCTCATTCCTGGGTTATCGGTTGCAAAAGATAACGCTCTCAAAGTTTAAGAGAACTTTTAATTGCGACCACTTACGAAGCAGGGAGCCGAGCCCTGAGACAGCAGCCTGCAACGTGCAGGCTTTACTCCATTGTTCTCACCACCTTTTTGTTTTCAGAATTCATTTCGCAAATGCCGAAAAGCAGCAGCCTAAAACCAGGCTCTGCTCCCGATACAACCCACACTGACAGGAGGAGCGGGGCCGCCGAAGCAGCGCTTGGTGCCCATGCGGCGGGGGGCACCTGGCTGGCCCCCTCGCTCCCCACGGCGAGGCTTCATCCCTGGCGTAGCCCACACCTCAGGGCTGGGGGGCACCGGGGCCCCAAGGCCGAGCAGCCGGGCCCAACACTCAGCGGACC